CTGTCACTGATGATCACATACAAGGTCTTAAATAATCAGGCCCCATCTTATCTTAATGACCTTGTAGTACCATATCACCCTATTAGAGCACTTCGCTCTCGCTCTGCAGGCCTACTTGTTGTTCCTAGAGTATTTAAAAGTAGAATGGGAGGCAGAGCCTTCAGTTTTCAGGCCCCTCTTCTGTGGAACCAGCTTCCAGTTTGGATTCGGGAGACAGACACTATCTCTACTTTCAAGATAGGCTTCAAACTTTCCTTTTTGCTAAAGCATATAGTTAGGGCTGGACCAGGTGACCCTGAATCCTCCCTTAGTTATGCTGCAATAGACGTAGGCTGCCGGGGGATTCCCATGATGCATTGAGTTTTTCCTTTCCAGTCACCTTTCTCACTCACTATGTGTTAACAGACCTCTCTGCATTGAATCATATCTGTTATTAACCTCTGTCTCTCTTCCACAGCATTGTAATCTTTATATCTCTGTTATTAACCTCTGTCTCTCTCCACAGCATGTCTTTATCCTGTCTTCCTTCTCTCACCCCAACCGGTCGCAGCAGATGGCCCCGCCCCTCCCTGAGCCTGGTTCTGCCGGAGGTTTCTTCCTGTTAAAAGGGAGTTTTTCCTTCCCACTGTCGCCAAAGTGCTTGCTCATAGGGGGTCATATGATTGTTGGGTTTTTCTCTGTATCTATGAAGCGCCTTGAGGCGACTTTTGTTGTGATTTGGCGCTATATAAATAATTGAATTGAATTGAATTGAACCGGCAACCTTTCGGTTACAAGACGAACTGCCAACTCGTCTTGTAACGAGTCGCCCCCTTATAGCAGTATACACAGTAGGCAAGGGGTTACAGCCTCATGTTTATTGTACTACGCTGTGCCATTAAGTGAACATTTGTTAATCTCTTACCTATACCCTGGTTTAACTTTACCCCGGGCAACCTTTGTTACACATTCCTTGCTGTTCCGGCTGTTTCCTGCGTGCCTCCCCTATCTCCATGAACACAAATAACCAAAGCTCCGTGCAGTGCATGTTTACCTGCGGAAGCTCCAAGGCTCTCATGACTGCAGCGAAGCCAAACATATTGCCCATTGTGCTCTTGAGCTCAGCAGCGATTTGGATGATTTTGTGAAGAAGGCAGGCTCGTTCTTCAGTCGTCCCCGTGCAGCCCAACACGTGCACAGCCAACATAATAGACATGGCTTGAAACCTGCAGGAACGTTATGTTATATCAGGTCATGTCAGCCCACACAGTGATCACACTTTGCTTAAAGAGGTCCTTAAAGTCAGAACAAGACTTCCAACAGCAGGAATAGGGAGACAACATTGAAAGGGAAAGCAGACATATGACTAAATAAATCACGCAGTTAAAAGAAGGCTAAAAAAAAGATGGAAAGAATTATAAATTACTACGAATAAATTAGGAATAACACACCATGTCATTGCTGTTGTGACACTCCTGTGCATAAATGCCCCACTTAACAGCAGAAAGTCTTAAAGCCTGGTAACAAAGCCAGGTTGGTCTCTCTAGTCTAGTCTACTAACTTAATTAGCAGCATTATAGTTTATGGTTCCAGTTTGTAAAAACATTTGCTAGTAGATAACTTTGCAGATAACTAAAAACCAACTTGGTGGACAAAAGTCTAATAAGGCTCATGTCAGATATACACAGTTCTATCACGCTAATGAACAGCTGAACTGGTTGAACAGTATTCACCTCTCCAGCAGGTCTAGTCTTAACTGTTGTCCATGTGGCAGCGTGAGCAGCTCCATCCCGGAGGTAACGCCCATCATTCTTTGCACCTCTGGCGTGACCTCCAGAATTCTGGCCACCTAGGAACACACACAGATGTAAGAACTGCTGCATTAGATTTCAGTTAGCGGAACCAGGATGAGCAGGAAAATACACTTTAAAATCTCCTGAAACATCTGCATGTTTTCACACATCAATAACACTTTGATTTAGAAATGGTTTAGAATTTGCATTCAAACAAATACCCCATAGTTTACCTGTTATCACTAACGCATGGCTAGCCCTAGTTTTCCTTCTGCATAGTTGCCACTGCATTCAGACTAAAATAAAGAAATCCCTAAACCTTTCTGCAGAGCTGCAGTCCATCCTTAAAAAAATCCCTATTACTTTACAAATATTGATTAGAGCAGCTATAAACAGTACCATGCAGTCAGCCTTGGTGATGTGTTTGGCCATTGTCCTGGGATCGACCTCCACCAGAAGCTCCTTCACCCTCCGCAGGACGCCCACTTCTAGAGGCTTATTCTCTTTTCCCATCAGTGGTGACTGGTACCTGCTGGGTTTGAAACAGGAGACCGTCTCCACCACAGGCGAAAAGTACACATTCCCATCCTCAGCCCTCAGTGGGTCGACCCCCGCTGACCCCTCTTCTGCCTGCAGCCTCTCCACATAGCTCTGAGGAGCAGGGTACAGCTCTGTGTAGCAGCTCCCATCTGCATGAGAGGAGGGAGAGACCTGGGTGTGGTGAGGTTGGGGTCTGTCAAGATGCTGTCTCTGTAGGGTGCTGCTGGGAGAGGGCAGAGGTTGGACGGTGTCCGAGCGCCTCGGCAGGGACGGAGTCACAGTGGGAGTCCGGCTGCTGGACGGAGTTCTGGATGTGGGGGCTGAAGAAGAAGGGAGGGAAAATTAGGAAAAAGATGTTTACAAATATTTATCCAAATAAACCAGAATAAATATATACATTTCAGACACTACTTGAGATACATAATAAGAGGAAGTGCCACATTCTATGTGGATGATTATTATAGACTAATGAACCCATGACAATGAAATATACTGATAGAAATATCATCAGTATAGCTGATCACTGTGGTTAATAGTTTTGGACAATTATTTTAGGGCTCTAAGGCAGAGAGGAATATTATACCATCATGGCTTTTGGGTTGACTCATAGTTAATTAATGTTAAACTTTCATATTTTGCGTGCCTCTTATTTTCACCTTAGTCTGTGTCTTGGTGTTTCCCTTTTTTAGTTTACTTCCTGCTTTATTTTGAAGGATAATTTCTTTTTTGCTTTCTGCATTTTCACTTCCTTTCTGTCAGTTTATTTCTGCCTTCATTATTGTCTAGACTGAGTTTACTGGTGCCATGATATTTCTCTCCCCAATTTAAATCTTTACTTACAAACTTTAATGTCATTTAGTTTATTCACCGTCTTTGGTTTCTTTGACTTCACTCAGTCATGTCAGTTAATATCAAGCGGCGCTGCTCAATTTGTTTTTTAATAAACAGAAATGTAGATTCCTTTTTATCATTAATTATTGTCTCTGAATGCAATTAATCTACTGTGTGAGGACATCCAGTAGAATCATGTGAATCATTTAATTAATTAATTAATTAATAGGACACACCTACAGTATAATGTATCTTTTGAAGACTTGCATTAACTCTTTCGAACTCTATTGCAGCTTTACTTGGGAATTTTTTCTTGTTAAGGTTTTTTTTCCTGATCATTAGCTCATGGCCTGCTATTTGTTTTAATGTGCAATTTATTTGTCTTGTGAAACAACACGTTCACTTTTTTAAGTGGTAATGAAGTTCATGTAGATGAACTCACTATTTGAACACACTGTTTGATTAATGCACGCCAATAACCTTCTACTTACATCACACTCAATTGCAACAGTTTATTTCTATGTTGTCTTCAATTTTTCAATTACTTCCATTTTATCCTCAAATGTCTTCACCCAAAACCATTCATTCATTTCAGATACACTTCCCTTTGTCTATAGTAACCTGTAGCAACAGTATTATCTACTACATCTATAGGTCAGAGTTCACAACATTTGATCCAGTTTTCTCTTATACAAACAACCTTGCTGCTGAAAACTACAAAAGGCTCTGAACCTTACTCCTGCTACCTTAGAGCCAATGCGGTCAGAGGTCTTTTGCTCGTCAGAGCCCGACGGCAGTCATTCACTCAGAGACCGGTGAAGCAGGCTGGACACACAAACAACAGGCTCTGGTTGAAACGTGAGATCTTTTTACAGGGACGCTCTAGGTAAGTACTTAGATCAAAAACCCAAGATCAGCAAAAGTTTTAGAAGATAAAATGGCATTTTAATGTAAACCCCAAATACCTTTAATGCTGTTTTAGAGCATTTCTTTGTGTAGTTACGCTGCGAGTTCTGTTCTGAAATATGCATGACCGACCAGCTAAGTAGTAGCATATGGATTCTCACAGAGGAACAGAATATTTCCCAGATGTCTCCTCTCAACAATAACAAGGCTGAGCTTTATGATTGCATGGAGGAATCTCACTATATAAACTATCCTCCTTCACAGTCATAGTTTGTTCTGATCACAAGGAACAAAAGCAAGAAAAAGAATGAATTGTTTTGGAATCGGATGCATTTCAGCTTGGAAAATTGTTTTCTTTCGAAAAAAAGAAGGAAGCTTTAAAGGTCACACAAGTTCAGACTTTCTCAAATTAAATACAGAGAGAACATGGAGTTACTTTTTTTGATGCAAAACAGAAAGATTTTTCTTATACAGTTTTGTTTTGATTATTTTAAATTCGGAACTAAGGAAAAAATGTTAAGTCTTGCAAGCACAAAAGGTCTTTTGACTGGTGGTGGTCAGAGGGCCCGGTGGCGCCAGTGTCCGGCAGCCTCGCCTCTGTCAGTGCGCCCCAGGGTGGCTGTGGCTACAATGTAGCTTGCCATCACCAGTGTGTGAATGTGTGGGTGAATGGGTGGATGACTGAATGTAGTGTAAAGTGCTTTGGGGTCCTTAGAGACCAAGTAAAGCACTATACAAATACAGTCCATTTACCATTTAACATTAAACAATGGCAGCTTTTACAATATTTATAATTGTTGCTTTATAATTGCTTTATAATTTCATACCCACTAATGCTGGCAGCTGTGAAACAGGGAACAAAAAACAGCTTTGTTGCCTTCTTTTAAACCTCCTGAGATTTAGAGGCAGGAATTTTCACACTCCAGTTGAACCAGTGAGCTGCAGAAAATCTGGAAGCTATGCAAGTATTAAAGTAGGGTGCCTCAGCTTAGGGAAAAACAACTGGAAATCTTTTGTAGAAAGACTGGTGGTGGTGTGAATCAGGGTGGTTTTAGCTATATGGCAACCTTTGCTGTCAAACATAAACTGAAATGACGGAGTTATATTATTTACTCAGATTAGTAACCTAGATCACTAATGATGTACATTGTAAAATACCACAGTATTTTACAATGCCACATTCCCAAAGTGAAATTACAAGGCTCAGAAGTTAGCTTTTTAAATACATCCCGACTTCTAATCAGGAAAATAAATTGGCCTCTTGGATTTAACTGTCATTCTTATGTTTAATAAGAATCACTAGATACCATCTAATGTGTTCTTAAACATTCATAACTTACGTTTTGGTTGTCATCATTGCAAGTTGCAGAAATCCATTGTCATTTCTTGATCTGGAGTCACTACATCACTGCCAATATCTTCCAGTGTGTATGCAGGAAGGAATTTTCTAAATAATTTTTGTTTGTTTTTAAGTTCATAGAAACCCTTAAACTCAAGGCCCTTACTAAACAGAAGGAGAGATTTAACATCTGGACATCTCTGTCAGAATCTCTTTCAGAGATGTGCCATCCAAGCTTGCTGGCACTTGCAGTGCTGCTATGCTCCACATTGTTGGTAAATGGAGGGAAAGTCTTGGTGTTCCCTGTGGATGGAAGTCACTGGATCAACATGAATATAATCATCGAAGAGCTTAACTCCAGAGGTCATGAAGTCACAGTGGTGCGGCCAAACGACACCTGGTACATCAAGTCAGAGTCCCCCGACTACAAGACCATCACTATAAAGTTCTCGAATGGTTTTAACAAAGAGCACTTTGAGGCATTTGTGATGGAAACACTGACCATGCGTCGACAAGGTGCTTCACTGTGGACTCGATTATCAATGGAGCATGACTTAGTGAAACAGTTGTATCAAATGCATGTCAAGGTGCTTGAGATGGTGGAGGGAATGTTTGAGGATACCAAGCTGATGCAGAGCCTCCGTGATGCCAAATATGATTTGGTTCTGACTGATCCTACGATTGGTACAGGTGTTCTTATGGCTCACCGTTTGGGTCTTCCACTTGTCTTTAATGTCCGATGGACTATTCAGGGTGAAGGCCATCTAGCAATTGCACCTTCCCCACTCTCTTACATCCCAATACCAGGGACAGAGCTGACTGACAAGATGACTTTCATTCAGCGTGTCCAGAATATGCTCTACTTTTTCTTCACATGTTTTCAAATTTGGTACGTCACAGAACCAAACTACAAACCATTTGTCCATCGTCATTTTGGCAGTGATGTACATTACATGGAGCTGTTTCAGTCAGCAGACATCTGGCTGATGAGAAACGATTTCACCTTTGAGTTCCCTCGACCCACAATGCCAAATGTTGTCTACATGTCAGGATTTCAGTGCAAACCTTCCAAGCCCCTGCCTAAAGAGCTAGAGGACTTTGTGCAGAGCTCAGGTGAACATGGTGCCATTGTGATGACACTGGGGTCTGTGGTGAAAAAACTTCCAGAGGACATCGCTGAAGACATTGCTGCTGCTTTTGCAGAACTTCCTCAGAAGGTGATTTGGAGGCACAAAGGCAAAAGACCATCCACCCTTGGTAATAACACGCAAATCTTGGACTGGTTGCCCCAAAATGACCTCCTGGGTCACCCCAAGACCAGAGTGTTTGTGGCCCATGGAGGCACCAATGGGATACAGGAGGCCGTTTACCACGGTGTGCCCCTGGTTGGCCTGCCCCTTATGTTTGACCAGGCTGATAACTTCTTCAGGATGAAAGCAAGAGGTGTGGCCAAAGTCCTTGATATTGCAACAGTGAACAAAGAAAACTTCTTGGAGGCGCTAAAGGAGGTACTCTACCAACCATCCTACAGGGAGAAGATGAAGGAGCTGTCCAGCATCCAAAGAGATCAGCCTACGAAACCGCTGGACCGAGCCATGTTCTGGATCGAGTTTGTCATGCGGCACAAAGGAGCGGCGCACTTAAGGACGGAGTCTTACAAGATGTCCAGCATCCAGTACTACTCGATCGATGTGGCAGCCTTTCTGCTGGCAGTTATTCTGCTAGTATTTACCATTTTTGTTTCAGCAGTCAGGTTTCTGTTGCGTAAGTTATTTTACAGAAACAAAGTCAAAAAGGAATGATGATTGTGTTGCAAAATTTGTAACCACTTACTTCTGTTTTTAGTTTCTGAAAATGAGCTCAATATAAATGTTTTTTGAATTTTCATCTCGTCAAGTGTGAATACAGATAAACAAGACAATGTTGCTGACTGACATTACTGATTATGTATAATCTTTATAATCCATACATGTACCCTTCAAAAAGTTAAATGAAATTAAAATGTAATTACAGGAAAAAAAACATTCGCAATTTGGCCATTATATTTACCATAATACAGACACAGTGTGCAATATATATATAATGAAAACCATACTGTTGCACTGTCTTACCTGTCAGCATTAATTACAATCTGTCAGGATTGGTTATTTAAGAAAATGGCTAAATGTTTTTATTGCTGATGTAATTATTAATCTTGCTATATTAATAATCACTACATGATTTTGGGATTTCTGCTATCTAATTAGTTTGCAGCTTCAAAAAACACAATTAAAATTCTTAATAATAGTTTTGTCTTTTAAACCTTTGATGTCTACAAATGTTTGGACACACCTTCTCATTTAATGGGTTTTCTTTATTTTCTTGAGTATTTACATTGTAGACTCTCTGTCAAGGCATCAAAACTATGAATAAACACATACCGAATTTAAACAAAAAAGTGTGAAATAACTCAAAAAATATTTTTGATTTTAGATTCTTCAAAATAGCCTCCCTTTGCTTAGATTACTGCTATGCACACTCTTGGCATAATCTCGTTCAGCTTCATGAGGTCACGCGAAATACTTTTCCGACAGTCTTGAACGAGTTTCCAGAGATCACAAGCACTTGTTGGCCTTTTTGCCTTCACTTTGCTGTCCATATCATCCCAAAGCATCTCAATTGGGTTTAGGTCAGGTGACTATGGAGGCCAGGCCATCTGGCACAGCACTCTGTCACTCTGCTTCTTTATCAAATAGCCCTTACGCAGCCTGGAGGTGTTGTTTAGGTCATTGTCCTGTTGAAAAATAAGGACAATGACATATATATATATATATATCTA